AGAGAGAAAGAAGAGAAAGTCAGTTTTCTAAAGCATTAATATATACTGTACATGTGTGCAGAAAAATGGAAGACCAGCAGCCCAACAAGTCCTCTAAGTTAAATCACACAATACATTGTAACTGGCCTTTAAAGTGACAGTTAAGCCACTACTGTTCAAAACTAAATGTGTTTTATGGTCTGTGGCTAAGGTTTGGTTAGGTTTAGGTAAAACCATGACTTGGTTAGGGTTAGGGAGACATTGTGGTTTGGGTTAGGGTTGAGATACATCACCTGTGGTTAAGCTCATGGACAACTGCAGCCATGGTTAAAAAAATTACCCTTACTGTCAGATGGAAACAAGAAACAAACTGCAGTCTCCCATGTTAAAATTTCAAGGTTTGCTGACCCATCCATCCACCGTGACCACCTGCCACTGTTAACTTTGTGCTTTTGAATTCTATAGTTAATAATAGTTGTACAAAACGTATACACTAAGAAATGTGGTTATTAATCTAACCCTGACTTTTATAGACATTCACATGCCCAAGAGAATGAAGCCTACTCACTTTGATGACCCTCTGACTTTTCCTTTTGCTCTACCCACTGCACCACTGTCGCCTCCCAGAGGTTAATATTTGATCACTGTAGTGAGATGTTGCCTATTGATTGGATTACCATGACATTTGGTTCACATAAACATGCTCTTCTCTGGATGAATTGTAATAGTATTTCATCTAGCTTCATCATCTAGCTACAAAGAAATTGCTTATGCAGGTCTGTTTATCTCCAGCTTGTACAAACTGGCCCATCTGCAAAATTAAAAGTAAACATGCAAACAATGTTTTACTTTTTGCTTTATGCTCCATTAATTACCCCTTCAGTTTGACAGTCCAAACTACAACACAATTATACATAGAGCCTTTAACCTTTTGTGAATGTCAGTGGCTGCTACAACAGTGGCTGAGGACAGGCTGTGTGTGGGCAGTGAAGGGGGAAGGGCCGCCCTCTGCATTACAGTTTAACAAGTAGTTGTTGTAGACCAAAAGAATCTGTAATCAGTGTTATTACGAGGAGAGTACCCACAAAAAGCAGAGCGCACTACCAAACGGACACCCCACTATTGTCTTTTCTTCAGCCTTTCCATCCACCTTCTCATGCTCCTTAATCATCCTGTCTATGCATTTTGCTCATCCCTATCAGACCCTGTTCTTCACACTGACCCTCTTCCCTCTCGTGTTTTTGTCCCTTATTGTTTTCTTTTGCTTTATTGTAGCTCTTCTAACTTGGTTTTCCTTCCTAGTTTTCTTCTCTCATTTATGTATCTTCCGTTTAATCACCCTCTTCTTGTTTCTTTTCTCTGTCTGTGTAATTACAAGAGCGGTACAGCACCCATCTGGAGGACAGTATGATATTTATCATGGACAGCAAACCCCATCTCAGCCTGCACAAGATTGTATTTTAAATCTCAATATCTTTTTAGTTTTAAGGATGTTATTTTATTTGAGTACATTTTATAGAATACAGTCTACATATTCACTTTGATCTAAAATGTCCTACTTTATGTTTGTGTATGCTTCCTGTTGACTTGCACATTCCAAAGTCTTTTAGCATTTTAGTCTTACATTTTAGTTAATTTAAAAGATTATATATCTCCCTTTACATAAAAATTCATCCCTCCCTCCAGCCATTAATTCTGGTCATAGTCCCCACAGGAATATTTTTCCTTGGGTCAGAGAAAGTTCTCATCAGCAGGATCAACAACATCCCTTAAAGTTTAAAAAAGAAGCTGTAATTCATATAACATTCATATAACAGCAAAATGTCTGTTTAGTTTAGATGTCACACCTTTTCTACATGTCAGATCAGTTTCAGACATGCCTCTGAAGCTTCATCTTGTGAACGCATGTGTACAATATAGTCATGTGTGAGATGCCATTTCAGTGCACATTGTTTTTCACGCTCTCTGTAAAAAAGGTGAATTAGCTCCCTCTGTTGCTTAAACTATAAACTGTCCTGAACATCATGGCATTAATACAAGTCACTCTTAAAGGATTTTTTTGTGTGAATTCAGCCTAAAATCATGGTCTCAGTCCATAACAATGATTTAAAAACATTTTTAAAAATCAGAAAATTTGAGGATTGTACAGTATATGAACACTGATATGATGTATCTAGCAATCGGTTCTATTCAGTTTAATTTTCAGGCTAGTCCATGAAGTTCACCATCCAGACTGGAAGGAGACATAAGTGCATTTAGACTTCTGATTTCCTAACTACTTCACTTCATGCTCATTTGCTGTCATTACTAAGTCATCTATAAACACAAAGCACTTCCTGTGGCACTGCCTGTGGGACTGTTGCAGGCTGAGTTCTAGGCTAAGACACTGATAATAGGAAGCGATTCTAACCACTAAAACAATAGATAAGCCTACCAGGGTTCAAACGTTAAAGGTTTCAAGCATCAAAACTGTGACACTGACATTTCAGGAAGAGGCTGTGCACACACAGTTGGCAAACATTGTGGTCAAGGTCTGCCTGTGAAAAAACTTCACCCCCTCACTTTGGACCTCATGTTTCATTGTTTTACACTTAATCTACAGATAGAAAAACCTTAACTGCGAAGTGAAAACTAATGATGTAAACAGATAGCATAAACAATGTTTTATTAGCAGAGGTATCCTGAGAAATAAAAAAGAGAAAAGAAAGGGGTAATGTTTTTTCTGAGTAGCAGAGCAGGAAACCACTGCTGCTTTACTAGTCATTCGGAGAGATCTTTTTATAGCAGCGAGCAGCTGGTACATCTTGCAACACCTTCACAACAGTAATGACAGACAGGGGCGGTTTAGTACAAATGTCACAGCTGAAGTCCAACAAATGTCTGGTAATGTCTGACAGGATTTTAAAAATGAAAACAGTATCATATGGTTATGTTTAGTTACTTTTATGTACTCAGCCTCAAGATTCTCTGATTAGGTTTCTGTTGCCAGTTTTATAGGTTGGCCTAGTTGTGTAGTTTTTGCTAAAACTGTGTGGTTTGTCCTACCTGAGCGGGTTCCCTTTAGCTTGAGCAGTACCCTGCAGCGAAATCCAGATGTGTCACTCTGTGAGCGGTGCCTGGGCAGAGGCCTCAACAGATGAAAGTTCCTCATCTCTGGTTGGGTGTCACCATCCACTTCCATGGTGGCCTCCTGTGTCAGCCCGCAGATTCACAGTGACAAGACAACAAGAAACCTCACACAGACCGCATCAACATCAGCAGCCCCTCCTCCTCTTCTACTCAAACCTTTCTTCTGCAGCAGACAAACCATGTGTGTGTTCCTGTGTTTGTTAACGCCTATTGCCTCTGAAAGACAGATCTCCTATAATGACTGCCTGAAATATGGTCTGACTAGTAAGAGAACTGTGAAATGGAATTGTTTCTACATGCCTATTATCTTTCTGACTGCTAAATCAGTCCTCTTTATTTTTATTTATTTAAGTCTGGGTGTAGACTAGAAGTCTCACTGGCTAACAGGTAAAAATATAGCTTATTTATTAATAGTTTAATGATTTTGAATTGAAATTTGAAAATGAATTTAAAGTTAGTCTATAGGCTGTATGAATTTGAAACATTACCCTTTGGTGTGACTTTTGTTTTGTTTGGATTTTAAAAAATTGGATCATGTGGTTGTGGGGCATGTAGCCTATAGCATTTTTTGTAAAAAACCCAGTCCTTGCAATGAAAAAAAGCATATAAATACATGTAGCTAACTACATAAAAAATAATATCTAGGCCTTGAGCTTTCCTTTGCTCTGGGAACAGAATTTTCAGTCCTGTTATGAATAGCGTTAACAGGACAACCTTATTCCAGACAAAATACAGTGCGTTCACTTGAAGAAAGAGTCCCGTTTTTGAATGAATGACAAAATAAATGTTTATGCAAGGACAAATTGAAAAGTGGGAAAAAAATAGAAAAAAGACAGACCAAATTGGCTGCAGCTTTTGAACACTAGAGGTCGCTAAAACACCACTTTGGCAAATTTAATCTGCTTTTCTATCGATGTCGATGGAACTCAGTTCTTGCTCAACACTTTACACCTAGATGTAATAAAAGATGAGGAGCTCTCACTTCAATCTTCTTTTCCGGGCACCAGAACCTGACTACATTTGCCAGATTAGAGGTTTGAATTGTGTACAGTCCAATCAAAATGACACAGTGTATTTTTTAAATAGGCTAACATCAAAATTATACAGTAGGCTTGGTTCTAATGCATAATACATGTTGGCAGTTAGGCCTACATGTACCGTATATAGCATACTGTTCTGTGCTTGTGGTAACCTTACTGTGTGTATCCTAAGGGTATGGCTAAGACTATAGCATAGTTGCTGCTTGTATGGAATAATCTGCAGTACTACAGTCTGAGCTAAGAGCTGAACTGTGTCCTTGGTTCCACACAGTCATGTTTTAGGTTGCTGACAATAATATGTAAAATATTTATTTATTTATTCAATAAGGATTGATCCTATGGATAGCCTAAATGTTTCTTTGAACTAGGCCTATTAGGACAAATGACATATTAAGATGTAGTTCATACATATTACCCATGATAAAGTCCCCAACCCTAATGTGTAGCTTGTAATGTTTAGGCTACTCTAATGATGCAGCTAGTATAGATAGAGCTAATTGTAATTGCTTTATATACTGCTGGGTTGTTTATATGTTTTCATTTTTGAAGGATTCAATAATGTCTTATCATATCTTAACTTATACATTGGAATCTTTGTTGATTAAACATTTCACTATTAATCTACATCCTAATCTTAATAACCTAACTAAAGGTTGGAGAAAAAGGTACAATATTTGCCTCTGAAATTTAGTGGAGTAGAAGTATAAAGTACCATCAAATGGAAATAGCCTAATAAGGTACCTCAAAATTGTACTCAGGCCCTATAGTACTTCTGTTGTTTTTACAGTCTGATAAACTGCTAAGAACAACAGCCTTTTCTTGTAAGCACAGAATGATCATCTTCATAATAGAGGATCTATGCTCCCTTAGTAGCAGCCTGGATCTCTGTCCTGGATGGATCCGTGGAGATGGGCTGAGGCAGAGGACACAGATTCAATAACACCGAGACCAGCAGCTGTAGAGTACCGCACTTACAGAAGGAAAGACTCGGGTAAGCTCCCCTGGATCATTTAAAAGAATTAGTTAGTACTAATATGCAGCTTCATTGTTTCGTACAGGTAAAGTTGCTGGTTATATTTTAGGAGGTGGGCTAAGACGAGTCGCAAATGTTAGCTAGGTTAGCTTATCGTGTAACTTAACGTTATGGCCAAACTTCTTTGCCAGGACGTCAAATAACTGTAGCTAGTAAACTCGTGGTACAACTGTAACGCTATAGTAATGGCAGTTATAGGTGGTAGATCAATATAATGCCAATGTTAGATGTTCTGCGAGTCGTTCTAGTAGTTTGTAGTGTGAAGTTGTTGCTAACAGCAGGCTAACCCGAGCCCTCTCCCGGTAAACTCCAGGCCCGCGAGCCACGGTTACTGATGCTGTCATGTTGTTAGCTAACATTAGCTGTTTGTGGTTAATGTGTGGACAGTATGGGAACTCGTTGGTCAAGTCATTCGTCTCAAGACATTATGTTTTATTTTGTCCTGCTCTGAACGTACAAAAACCTGTACCATCACATTGCTGTGGACCAGGGCTGCAAATGTTTGCCTAAACAATGTCTTTATTTTATTGTCATGACAATAAAAGCTTCATCAACGATCAGTAAAACCATTAACCATCGACGTGATGCACGTTCAACCAAACGTCATAGTAAATCAGGAATCACAGTACATTAAACATGTTGGGCATATAAAGCAATTAAAACAAAGCCTAACCCTTTTTTTTGTTTTTATCAAAGTAGCCTTAAAGGCTACATTACCTGTAACGTTATCAAATAAACTTGAAACAGGTTACACCAGTCTCCCCATAGTGGACTTCAGTTTTCCTGGTTTTATTTCAGATAATATGCATACCTTATCTACGTACAAGATGGGAGTGAACTTGTGTGTTGTTCACTGTAAAGATAAGGTTAGCACAGCTGCTGGAAACACCTGCTCAGCTTGGACAGATGCCCCAGGGTTGCACAGATACTGCCACGCCAACTTGTGGGCAAAGAAACATTTCAGCATTTACTGCCATTAGTAACATTCATCTGTGGGTACATCCCAATCCAGGCAGCTGCCAGTGGAAACTCCGTGCTGCAGTGTTCATCACCGCACATCACAGCTGCTACAGTGAGCACAGAAAGCCATGCTGCTGCTTATTTCTTCCTTGGATGGTCTGGAGGTGTGTTTGTTTTACAATTTGTGTGGCTCTTAAAACGTGTAACGCCATCTGATTAAACCATAAGGAGCGCCATCAAGTCATACAGCTGGGTGTTAGAGCGAAGTACAGTACACAGTACCTTTCCTGACAGTTTCACCCCGTGTCCTCAGTCGTCTTCTGCACTGTCAGTCAATATATAGTAATTGATTGTTTTATTAGCAGTAGTTAATGCATCATTCATTAATTGTTAACATTCCTACTGTGGACCCTGCCTAACTGAGTAATTATGTAGGTCAGAGTTTGTAAAACCTGCTGGCTTTATCTGCAGCTTTCAGAGCCAGGCTGTGACCAGAATGAACTGTTCCACCTTTGGCCTATAAAAAACCAATTCAATCTCAGCCCTATCCCTACGTTTTCTCACTTGTATTTGTCGCTCAGCATTTGTACCCATAGACAGTTTCTTTGATTGGTCTTTCTGAAGCCAAACACAGCTAAAACTGTTGTGGACAATAAAATCAGATTTTCTTGATCAGGGCTGGATTACCAACTGGGCAAAACAGGCAACTGCCGAGGGACCTCGGATCCCATATACACCATGTCATAAATAATTTGATTAATCCATAATGAATCAGAAGGCTGTGTTTTATCAAATTACCCTACCTTTCTATAACAGGAAAACTGTATGACAGTCAAACAAGTGATGATATCTGTAGGTCAGACAGTTGCCTTCCATCCAGTGTAAAGAGAGAGTTAACCAGGTGAGTGTTTAACTTAGAAAGAGGTCAACTTTGAATCTCAGTCTTATGACTCATTTCAGAGTTTTGATCTCTAAATGTGTTTGTCTTCTGGTTCTTACCTAGCATTTTTTTCATTATTTTGTTAGTGCAGTTTTGTTCACTGTCACTCAGCCTTTTAGTGTGTCACATGCGCTCCCCTGTAACTACCTGTTAGTCCAGACAGAATGAAAGCATTTGTCTATATACAGTATTATGCTGGGAATTATATCTCTGAGGTGTCCCATTTTTGTGTTTGTGCTTGTAAACCTAATATCCTGGCTTCAGAGAACTCAAATAAAAAGAGGAACATTTTATAACATATTGTAAACACAACATGGTTTCTAATCATGGCCTTCCATGTGGGCAGGCTGAGAAATGAAAACAAAATGCAAGAATAGGTAATCTAGTGATGATGTACTCTGACACCGGTAATGCTAGACCAATAAATTGAGCAGGCTGACATAACATTAATATTATCTTATTAGAAATAATGACATGCCGCATAGTTTTCCCATCAGGGAGCACTGACATGTTGACAATAAAACTCCCAGTTTAGTTTGTATCTCAATCACAAAAACAATTATAAGGGGTTACTGTGAGTTATTTCAATTCCCCGATATTAATGTGAACATTGGCCTAGAACATCCTGTAATGAGCAGGCTGCATAGAGGATAAATTGGATCTCTTCATTTTTTACTAGAGATGAGATGGAGTCACAGATCTAGCATAGGTATAAATGCATGTGAGCAGTACCAGCCAGAAATCAACAAGGGTTAATTTCTAACCATTGAAGTAAGTCAGCCAATGCAGTAACAGCAAACAATGGTTAGATGTGGAGGATTCAAGGAATTGTCTGCACTAACGATTATGAGAAGTCATGCATTCATCATTAAATCCACAGTATCAAAACCGGGATACTAATGTGCATGTAAACATATGGCGTTGTCATGAGTGCAGAGTACCCCAGGTCTGAGGAGCCCAATAATCTTTCCATGGGTTGCTTTAGCAGGAAATTGATAGTTTAACACATCCACATCAAGTAAATTGTCATTTGTTTGATATATCAGTCAAGTCATACATACCAACTGATATAAGCTAATTGCAGATATATTGATAACTGTAAATTTCCTGGCCGCTAAAGTAACACGAATAGCTGTACAGAAATACCAAAGATTGAGGAAATGCACCTCTGTTGTATAGTTTATCCATCAGAGCGCAATGACAAATTAAACTATTAAACCTGCAATATTGTTTCATTAAGTCTAATATTCACTGTCCTTTTAGCTCAGCTTTTGGTCTCCAGAGGGGAATATCTGGCTCTTTAGCTGCTAAATGCTCCACAGTGATCAACGGGTAGTTGCTGTTTGTTGCATAGTTTGTAGGGTTTTAGAGCTTTTTAGATGAAAACAGCTGCCTGCTGTGGCTGAAAATGATCCTGTAAGAGCAGTGAGCATGAAGCAGAACAGTACAACTGGCAGGCTGAACAGCTAAACAATGACCTGAAGATTGCTATAAAGCTCAGTAAAAGCTGCAGATTCATAGTTTTCTATAGGTTTGTTACTACAGCTGATCGATTTCACAATCTGTGTTTTCACATTTGTGTTTGCTACATTATTATAAAAATATTGAAAATGTTTCTCTGTGTTATGTAAAAATGTATATTGCCATCAGATTTTGAAAAAAATCTATTTAATTCTATTTAAAAAAAATAATTTTCCAGTCATATATTTTGTCATTGAATATTTCTTAAAAATTGTGTTAAAATATCATCTTGTCTCATTCTTGTGAACCCAGTATTGTCTCGTCTGGTGAGCTGTGTGTGTCGTCACACCCCTACTGATTGTGTAGTGTTGATAGTTGCTTCTGACAGTGTTGCTCCTTCCTCGTGCCTGTGTGTCAAATGACTCGTGTAGAAGCAGGACGTCACTGAAATGGTCTCAGCCCAAAGTCCATGCACAACAACCAGGCCTTTTGTCCCTGCTTTGCCACCGTGCACCCACACAGTTCTCATAATGTCATGGTGAAAGAGCATCTTTATCTTTGCTTTCCACAGACTCATCTCACTCACATATTTTAGGTGCAGTACAAATAGAAAGCAGCTTAAACAGGCTAATGTGACAATATGGCTTTATAATGCTGTGCCCACCCACATAGTTTGACTTTGAAATGTGTGCATTCGCGCGTGTAGGACTGAACAGATGTTTAAACTTTAATCATCTACTTTTATGTTGATTTTCAGTTAGCAGTAGGTTTCATGGATGTGTCAGACCTCAGCAGGTTAAATATTGCACATTTTCTCCCGTGCAGGTCCTGGGGGTGTATGTGTTGTTGTTGTGTGTGTGTGTGTGTGTGTGTGTTCAGTATAGCACAGCTTCATGCCTTTTTTTCTTTAGACCACACTCAAGTGGTTGTTCAGCTATGGAGGGAGGGAGAGGATAGAAGGGGCCGGCCAGGGGCTTGCCAAATCGGATAAGAGCATTTTGGGGGAGCAAATGAGAGAGGAGAGGGCTGTAAGAGAAGAGGGAGAAGGAAATAAAAAGAACAGGCCTAGGTGAGCAGAGGAGATAGAAGAGAGTGACAGAGAGTAGTGTGTGTTACAGGGAAAAAAAGAGGGACTCAGAGTGGGTGAGGCTGATGTAAAAGGAAAAAGGCGGGGTTGTGGTTTGTGTCACATGATCCCTGGCAGACTATAGTCTAGTGAGCTCCAGGTGGCAGAGAGACCAGAGATACAGTAGATGTAGAGAGAAAGAGGGAGCGGGACACGTTAGCAAACCTCACCACAAAGACAACCATTCCCTCCCTCCTCACGCATCTCTTCTTCCACTGTTCTCTTTCTGTCCTTAATTCTTCACAGTCCTGCTTGCCCTCTTCTCCTGCTTGTCTTCAGTCTTGGCCACAGCAGGCCAGGGAATGTCCCGGCTGCGAGATGCCTTACGTGGACCGACAGAACCGCATCTGTGGCTTCTTGGACATCGAGGAAAACGAGAGCAGTGGCAAGTTCCTGCGCCGTTACTTCATACTGGACACACAGCAGGGAAGCCTGGTCTGGTTCATGGACAACCCACAGGTAATTGGACAAGGTTATGTTAGCTTAGCTTTTAGCTCTCTGTCTGGGCAAAGAATCCTCCAGGTAACTGCACATACATGTTTAATTTGTTAATGGAAAAGCAGACAGTGTACAGACCATGCCAGCATGCCAGCTTCTGTTAGTGGCTAGTGTGGATAATTAGCTTTTGCGCAGCTGTTGGCTAACTGCAGGCCACTTCTAGCTAAGCTGTCTTCATTCATTGTGAATACAAAGCTAAGTACAGGCTAAGTGTCTCCACTGCCAGTTTGACATACAACAAAACAGGGAAGATGTATTATGTATAATAATTCTGCTTGACAGCAATTAGGAATTACATATTACAGGCTCGGGGGTAGGTCAATTGACCTAACTGTGCTTTAGCTATAGGCAGACATCATTGTAACTTGATTAGAACAAGGATACAAGGACTCCCTCGTTAAACTGTAAACCAGGAGTGGGTGTTTTGCCTTCTAGTCAACTGGATCTGTCCACTTCTGAACACTGATATTTGCAGTGACCACAGCGCTCCTCATTTTCTGCTCTGTGACTCTCACAACAGTGTAACTCTCCTACTGGTTTGTATCATCATGCTGGTTTGGAAATGCTTTATTTGTAAGTGTACTGTTGTATGAAGTATTCATAACTGATGTAGTATAGGAGAAAACCTTAACAGTTTAGTAACTCCTTCTTTTTATATATTGAAAAAAGATTGAATTTTAATGTGAAATCTGGATCCTCATATTTCAGAAACACCTCATGACATTGAAATTCACTGTGACTGAGGACAGCTAAAGTTTACTGTACCTGCTTTGTAATATTGACTATACCACACTATATTCTGTCATTATTCCACAGCTACTGTAAGGCCCTTGGTTAGTTTTAGATTTTTTTTTTTATTCCATTGCTGTGTTGACTATTCTCCCACAGAACCTGCCCACTGGTACAGACTGTGTTGGCTCCCTCAAGCTCACCTACATCTCTAAGGTCAGCAAAATATTACCACTCAAACATATCTGACACAAACATGATACGATTATATATAAATAGAATCTGTTTACAGTATATGGTTGAACTGTGAGCTTTGTCCTCCTCTAGGTCAGCGATGCTACTAAGCTGAGGCCTAAGGCAGAGTTCTGCTTTGGTAAGGAAACATCAAACTCTTGCTCTGGGTCATTCATTTCTCTGCACTAAAAATAATGATTTGCTAGTTTGCTGGAGAAGTAGAGTTAAATAAAAATATAGGCTTATCTAGAAATAATTCATTGATGTGATGTCTCTAACCTTTTACAATTTAACATCCTATTTCTATATGGATGTGTAGCAAATGTCTCGGACAATATAATATTAAAGAGTGTGAGAACTTGCGTCTTGTAAAAGTATATAACTTAGAGACATCAGCAGTAATGGTGTGACCACATGTTGACTGAGCTGATTACATGTAATATAACCTAAAGTAACAATGTTTACTGCCCTTGTCTGCCCTCTAGACATGGTCAAGCACTCACAGGTCTCCCTCTCTCTCTGTCTCCTTCGTTTTGTGTCTCCCTCTCTGTGACATACTGTCAAATAAAAGCAAAAAACAAAAACAAATAACAAAGCATGCATAATGAAGTTGCTCAGTGGTTGGCAGTTGACATTATACAGATTGATGAAATGAAAAATGTTGTATAAATATGAGCCATCATCAGGTTAGTTAGCAGTGCACCTCCATTCCCTGTTATTGTTTACTAGTCCCTCTTCCCCTCTTCCATCTGCTTCAGTAGGTGGAAATACTAGTGTGTGACAAGGAGCTGACTTCCATGACTGTATGTGTACACCAGTCTGCACCAGTTGCCTTGATAAGGTTTCAACAGGATGCTGACATCCTAATTGGAACCAGATTCAGATTCAGAGATGTATGAAGTTATTTTTAACCTGCTGCTTGTGCGCCAGATGTTTTGCTGATATCTGTTGATCCAGCTTCCCCCCCTCTTCCTGCATTTAGTAAATTAAGAAGAAACATGGGTAAAATGTGTTTTGGTGAGAGAGATCAAGAGTGGTGAACTTCATTGCTTGGCTGCATTCCCCAGCTGCACACAGCTGTAACCGTGACTGTGTGTGTAACTGTGAGTCAGATCTGATACACCCACTCCCAGATTTGTCATGCCAGTGCCAAAGATCCCACTAAACTTTTCACCACTACAAAGCAGGTTCTTTTTTACCAGAAATCCAGTGGACCCATTTGAAAGGTAATACATACCCTTGGAGTCATTCATGCTGGTCACCTAAATGAGACCAGACAGATTTATTTAAAGGGAAGTGGGAAAAGGAGGCAGTGAGGTTTTGCATGTGTCTAAGAGCTGGCCCAAACACATAGAACCAGGAAGAATGATGTTCATTGTGCCACAGAGGTTGAGCTCTCAGTGCTTTTTACAGCTAACCCCGACCAGATATACTAATCCAACTTTAATGTAATTTATTCCCATGGTGTCAAAGGAAATATGAGGAGACACAAGGACACTTTGAGCTGTTGAATTTAAGGATTTGTAGTAGACACAGAGCGAATGATAGACTCGAGTTCTTTCAGCTCCTAAATCCTGATCCATAGCTAATCAACATTTCACCCCCCAAATTTTTTTTTTTTTTTGCTTAAAATGGGGTTCGTTCATGTTCACATGGGTGTGAAAACGTACGATTTATATTTGGTGGTTGGTAGCTGTTGGCTTTTTTTTTTTCCTTC